TGGTGTGAGTGAAACAAGGCTTGGGGTGGCTCCTGGGGGAGGGAACAACGGGGTGCGCAGGAAGTGTGGAGAGTCTCAGGGAGGGTGCACAAGGGTGCGTGAGAGTGGCTCAGCGAGCCTCAGGGAGGATGCACGGGGGGGGGGTTAAGTGGCAGGGAGGTGTGGTGAGGTCCAAGGAAGGGGCGTGGGGGTCCACGAAGGGGCACGGCAAGGCTGGTGGAGGATATGCGGGAATGCACAAGAGCGATGTGACAAGGCTTGGGAAGGATGCTGCGGGATGCAGAGGTGTGAGGCTCCGGGAGATTGCAAGGGAGGTACGACGTGGCTCAGGGTGGGGTTGTGCGAGCGGCCAGGATGGCAAGGCTTGGGGAGGGGAGGGTGTGCGGGGTTGCACCAGTAGCCGGTGTGCTGCTAGCGTAAAGGGGCTGGGGGAGTGGGCATGGATCAAGGAGACTTAACCTAGTGACTTTTGACCTTCCCTGCCGGCATCCCCATTGACTTTCTGGAGAAGCTGGGAGGGAAAGTAGCAAACGACCATGGGGCACTGGTTGTTAAGCGTGAGCAGGTTGCCACGTTCCCAGGTTGTAACCTTGTGACCGGGTGGACATTGGGGCAGCCAGAACTTCAAGGACCGACGGTAACTATCATTCGTTCAGAACTTCCATTACTGAATAAATAGCCGTAAAGTTGAGGACTACTTGTAAAAGAGAGCAAGATGACAGAGACAGGACTGGACTGAAAAAAAAAAAGAAACACACCGACGCAAACCGAGGGGGCTTTACTCACCCACACTAAAGGCCTGTCACAACCCTGCTTTTAGCTACAGCTGCGCACATCGTGGTTAAAATAACAGGAGCAGGTGGCTACCTATCTGCTCCATCAAAGGGAGCAGTGTATTTTGCATCCTACGCGACAGGGAACAAAACGTTTTGCATGTCTGATTCTAGACAAAGTCCATTTACTTAAGCGATACAGTATTATTATTATTTTAAAAAAATATACCTTCAGAAGTTGCCTTTAATGCTGTTTTTAGCTGTTCCACTTCTATGGTTAGCTTCTCGTTGGTTACCGTAGACAAATGTTCACCGGTAGAATGTTTGATTTCCTTCAATGACTGCCAAAAGGGGGGGGAAAAATCAGTTGTGTTTTGTTTCACGTTTTACACAATCCTGCCCCTACTCATATTTGGTGGGACAGTGGGAGGAACTTGATTATCTTGGAGATGCTTTTAGATTAAGTAATTCACTCTATACTAAGCTCATTAACCAAACTGTGACACTTCAGCCAAAGCTGGCACGTTGCACAAATGTGTAATTTTGATTTTCATTTTGATTTCTCATGCTAATTTTGAATTTCCATCCTTCTGAGGTCAGTAAAATAGGGACCCAGGGGCAG